CCAAAGGAAAGGTGCCAGGTCCGGCCAATAGCAAGTGCAGGAGCAGAGACTAAAAGAAAATCCCTGCAGCAAATCCTTTGTGTGTTCTTTGGTGTTCGGTTCCTAAAAAATCAGCCAGGGAAGTTTTTGTCTTTCAGGTTTTTATAAAAGCTTACAACTTTGATACTTGGGTCGATCCCACTTCAAAACCAACAAGTGGTATCAGAGCGGTGTATGCCTAAGTACCAACCCAGATCTGAAGAGATGACGAATTTGGAGAAGATGACGACCAAGGTGGGTTCCCTCTCTCTTCAATACCCGATGCTATCGAGGGAAAACTATGCTTCGTGGGCGATCAAGATGAAAGTCTACATGAAGGCTCAAGACGTGTGGGATGCCATTGAGCCCGCGGCAGGCGCGTCCGTGGAACACAGGAAGGATTAGATGGCGTTGGCGGCCATCTACCAGGGTATTCCTGAAGAGACTTTGATGGTGATTGCAGAGAAGCAAACGGCAAAAGAGGCATGGGAGACGTTGAAAACAATGCATCTAGGAGCGGATCGTGTGAGGAACGCGAAGGTGCAGACCTTGAAGTCCGAGTTCGAACTTCTCCGGATGAAGGAGAATGATAACGTCGACGATTTTTCGACGAAGTTGACAGGAGTCGTCAACAAGATCCGGGCTTTAGGCGGCGAGATGGAGGAGAACTACGTCGTCAGAAAGCTACTTCGGGCGGTACCGGAGAGATTCCTTACTATCGTCTCCACGATTGAACAGTTCGGGGACATCGACGACATGACACTCGAGGAGGCGATCGGGCGTCTCAAAGCCCACGAGGAGAGGGCACGTGTTTTTCGAAACAACGTCGACGATCACCTATTGTTGACGCATGCGGAGTGGCAAGCAAGGAGCAAGAAGAACGGCGGAGGCTTCCTCTCAACACCTACAACCAATGATGGCAGCGGTCGAGGACGAGGTCGCGGGGCCGGTCGTGGGCGTGGCCGTGGCCAAAGAGGCCGAGGCGGACAGCAGTACCACGGCAGCGGACAGCAGTACCACGGCAGCGGACAGCAGTACCACGGCAGCGGACAGCAGTACCACGGAGGCCGCGGAGGGGAGCACGGCGGCCAGGCAGGCCGAGGCGGCTTCGGCGGCAGAGGAGGACGTCCAGGAGGTGGTTTCGGCCATGGTGGTGCAGCTCGCCAGGAGGGGGAGAGTAGCACAAGCGGTGGTCGAGACAAATCCAACATCAAATGCTTCAATTGCGGAGTATACGGGCACTTTCAGTCGGAGTGTCACAAGCAACGCCGCAACAATGAACAGGAGGCTCATCTCACCCGTGCATATGACGAGGAGCCAACCTTGATGATGGCTATGTTAGAAGAATCGCCAAGGGTCGTGTTACTTAATGAGGAGAAGGTGATGCCGGATTTACTTACAGCGGGGGAGGCACATGTTTACAACAACACATGGTATCTTGACAACGGAGCTAGCAATCACATGACCGGCCACCGAGACAAGTTTAAGGAGCTCGACGAGAACATCAAGGGAACCGTCAAGTTTGGTGATGGATCCGCGGTAGAGATCAAGGGGAAAGGCTCAATCCTCTTTCAGTGCAACAACGTCAAGGGGAAAGGCTCTATCCTCTTTCAGTGCAACAACGGCGATCAAAGGCTACTACCTGAGGTATATTATATTCCAAGTTTGAAATCTAACATTATTAGCCTTGGTCAGATGACTGAAGATGGGAGTAAGGTTGTTATTGCTGACGAGTTCCTGAGGGTGTTTGATAGGAACGGTGCTCTCTTGATGAGGGTGACACGTTCAACTAACCGATTGTACAGGATAGAGTTAAAGACTTGCAAGCCGGCGTGTTTGATGACGAACATTAACGATCCAGATGCCTCGTCGCTAAGCAAGCAAGCCTGCCGTTCCCTTCGCAAGCAAACTTCAGAGCTCAGAGGCCGCTGGAATTACTACATGCTGACCTATGTGGTCCTATCACCCCATCCACACTTGCGGGTAACAGCTACTTCCTTCTTATTGTTGATGATTTCAGCCGATGGATGTGGGTATACATGTTGAAGGCCAAGAGTCAAGCTTGTGAAACCTTCAAGAAGTTCAAAACAGAGGTTGAGAACGCGTGTGACCACAAGGTGAAGACATTGAGGACGGATCGTGGTGGCGAGTTCTTGTCAAAGGAGTTCACAAAACTGTGTGAAGACTACGGCATCAAACGTCATCTCACTGCACCGTACACCCCGCAGCAAAACGGTGTAGTGGAGAGGCGTAATCGCACGGTGATGGACATGGCGAGGAGCCTACTTAAGAGCATGCATATGCCTGGAACCATGTGGGGCGAAGCGGTTAGGCACGCGGTGTACATCCTCAACCGACTACCAACCAAGGCGTTGCACGACCACACACCCTACGAAGCTTGGTTTGGTAAGAAACCCCACCTAGAACACTTGAGAGTTTTTGGATGTATGGCGCATGTGAAGATTGCAGGTCCTTCTCACAAGAAACTCGACGACCGGAGCACGCCAATGGTGTATATTGGGGTAGAGGAAGGAAGCAAAGCGCATCGCCTATACGACCCTCAACATAACAAGATACGTGTCAGCAGGGATGTCGCGTTTGAGGAAGGAAAAGAGTGGGAATGGAGCGCCGATGGAGTCGAAAAATCACCTAACTGGACGGAGTTCACAGCGGAAGAGGAGAATGCAACGGTCGGCGAATTTCCAGCCGTCCAAGCTGGACAAACTGCAGCCCGAACAGGGGCTGCTGCTGGCCGAAATTCGCTATATCAGCACAGAACGGGTGGGAGGTGCACCATTTGGATGTGAAGTCGACATTCCTAAATGGTGATCTCCAGGAAGAAGTGTATGTGGTTCAACCTGAAGGGTTCGTTGTGAAGAATCAAGAGCACAAGGTCTACAAGCTTTCAAAGGCACTCTACGGTCTACGCCAAGCACCTCGGGCATGGAACACGCGCCTCGACAAGTGCATGAAGGGCATCGGATTTGCAAGATGCACTCAGGAGCAGGCGGTATACACAAGGAGTAACAGAGGGGATACACTCATTGTTGGCGTGTACGTAGATGACTTGATCGTTACGGGCTCGAGGGCGGATGAGATAAAGTTTTTCAAGCAACAAATGATGAAGGAGTTCGAGATGAGTGACCTTGGATTGCTTTCCTATTATCTTGGTATCGAGGTGGATCAGCGAGATGATTGTATTGCACTAAGGCAGGCGGCCTATGCGAAGAAGGTTTTGGGTCAGTTCGGCATGATGGATTGCAACCCGACGCAATATCCTATGGAAACAAAGCTAAAGCTTGGAAAGGATTCCGAAGGAACACTGGTGGACGTGGCGGAGTATAGACGCATTATCGGATCTTTGAGGTATCTAACTCACACCCGACCCGATATCACATATGCCGTGGGGATTGTGAGTAGGTACATGGAGCACCCTACAGTTTTGCATCGACAGGTTGTCAAGCATATTTTGAGGTACGTGAAGGGTACTATGTCCTACGGATTGGTGTACAAACGAGGTCGAGGCAATGAAGAGTTGGTGGGATTCACTGACAGTGATCTTGCGGGAGATGTTGATGATAGGCGCAGCACAGGCGGCATGGCATTTTATCTAGGTGACAGTTTGGTCACTTGGACATCACAGAAGCAGAAGACGGTGGCATTATCATCCTGCGAGGCAGAATTTATGGCGGCAACTGCAGCAGCATGCCAAGGCTTGTGGTTGAGGAGTTTAATCAGCGAGGTGATTGGGAGTGAGCCCAAGCCGGTCACACTCTTCGTTGACAACAAATCCGCGATTGCCTTGATGAAGAATCCAGTTTTCCATGGAAGAAGCAAGCATATCGACACACGTTTTCACTTCATTCGTGAGTGTGTTGAGCGAGGACAGATTAAAGTGGAGTTCGTGAGCACGAGCGAGCAGCGAGCGGATATTCTCACGAAGGCACTAGCAAGGGTGAAGTTCATCGAGATGCGAGAGCTTCTAGGAGTAAGGGACTTGGAATCTCGTCCAGATTAAGGGGGAGAATGTGAGTTGTAATCAGTCCAAGGATTGTTAGTTAGTAGAATTCTAATTAGAGTAGAATACTAGTTAGTAGATAGGTTTCTAGTTATTGGATAAGATTAGAATTGCAATCTTAATCCTATATATATGTAAACAATTGATGAGTTTTGTTACAACGTGAATAAAAACTTAAAAGAGAAAGTTCCTGCCTCTCCTCTGTTCGTTCTCTCTTTTCTCTGTCTACAGGTTCTGTTTTTTGTGTTCACCAACAAAACAGACCCGGAGCTCTCAGTTTGTTGTTGTTCGGTCCCAAAGGAAAGGTGCCAGGTCCGGCCAATAGCAAGTGCAGGAGCAGAGACTAAAAGAAAATCCCTGCAGCAAATCCTTTGTGTGTTCTTTGGTGTTCGGTTCCTAAAAAATCAGCCAGGGAAGTTTTTGTCTTTCAGGTTTTTATAAAAGCTTACAACTTTGATACTTGGGTCGATCCCACTTCAAAACCAACACATATTCTGTAAATTCTCGCCAACTCATGTTAAAATTTAAAACAATACGGTAGCTTAATAAAACAGGGGATTCTGTTAACTCCAAGAAATAATATTGATTTCCCAAAAAAAAAAAATCTTCTCTTAATATATCTCCTAATTAAAGGTTCCCAATCTTTATATTATTTGATTGAAACATCTAGTAAGATACACCTGCAACTTGCTAGGAAGTGCACTTCAACGATCGAGTTACTTTTAAATATTAAAAATTGACTCAAGAATCGAAAGCCATAGTCTCGAATATGTGATAAAAAAACATTATTTTATAAGTTCGTACTTGCCTCGAAGCTAAAGTCAAGGTCCTCCTTCCAAACTAAGAGTTGGTCAACTTACTTCTATTTTATTCATTTAAACTAATACACAAACCTGCCTTGAATATGAAATCGAGGCATTAGTTTACCTGCAAGTTACATATCGATTGTATTAAAGCTATCATAGCATCCCATGTGCACATCAAAACTTAGGTCCTCATAAGCTAAGAAAATGTATCATCATCAACATTCATCCCAGGGGTATGACCCTAGCAAATTTCAGCACCCAGTTCAAGTTCAAGCTCCAGCTCCAGCTCCTCCTCAGGCGATAAGGAGCTCGCCTTATCCTGCTCCCGCGATGTATCCTCCATCTAATGGTGGACCTGCGCAGTGGTCCACAGGGCTTTGCCATTGCTTTGATGACCTTTCTAATTGTAAATTTGAATATATGTGTAGTTTTATCGTTACGGGTCTTCTTTTATTTGTGATCATTATCTTATTTTTGGTATGGTTTTATTATTTGTTTCAGGTCTGGTTACGTGCTTTTGCCCGTGTATTACCTTCGGGCAGATTGCTGATATCGTGGACAGAGGAACTCGGCGTAAGAAATTTTAGATCTTTATGTTGAGCTAACATTCGCGATGATAAAAATTCTAATCCGAGCTTAGAAGTTTAATTTTTGTGCATTAGAATATCTTTAGATGATTAACAAAACAAAGATTGTGGCTTCGTAGTATGTTTCAAAAAAATATTAGGCCCTGTTAATTGTTAAAATCAATATCCTATCAAGCACGAAAATTTTAACGTTGAGTTGAAGTTTGCAAACAATACTGTCTATTTCAGGCTCTGTTTGGATACCATGATGTTTTACTTGTTTCCATAGTGTTTTTGCCAAAAACAAAACACTATGGCTTCGTTTGGATACCATGGTGTTTTCTTTATTATGTTTTTGTAAAAAAACACCATGGTATTGTGTTTTTCCCTTAAAATATTTTCAAAACACCATGTTAAGTATTTTTGGTCAACACTAGCTTGACCTATTATAACATTAGTATTAAACATATTATTAATATATTATATATTAATTATAATAAAATATATAATAAATAAAATATTATAATATTTAGTTTACATTATTATAGTATTACAAGTATTAAATATAATTCAATATAATATTGTATAATGTATTATAATATTATATTGTACTTTAATGAGTTATATTAAATTATATTATAATTATTACATATTATTTTTAAATAATTATGTATTTAATTATTTTGGTATATCAATTTGTTATTGAAACTTGGTCAGTGTCGCTTAAATAAGCAAAAAAAAGGTAAAGATCAGTGATCAGATTAGTATTTATTCTTTCTGCACACAAAACACCACCCCGAGAAATCAGGGATTTCTCGGGGTGGTGTTTTGTGTGCAGAAAGAATAAATACTAATCTGATCACTGACCATATAGCCGATATCCCATTTTCAAGTAAAAAAATTAAAATACAAACATGAAAAGATGTCAGCTACGCAATCCTCTACTTGCAAAAGGGTGCAATGCAATTAAGGACAAATACACTCTTTAGCTAATCCACAGCAACTGTTAATTATATTTGATTTCATAAGCTGTGTCCTGACATAAGTTTCTGTTATCTATATATAATTCTGATACAAATTACATAAAACACGTAATTATGAAATCTAAACCAGTCGTTCTCTATGCTTTTTTGTGCTTATTTAAGCGACACTGACCAAGTTTCAATGTGATGGAAAGCAGCTTGTTCATCAAGTGGAACAGCGTACGGTCTCCTCTTGGGATTTACAGGCCTAGCATGCCTGTATTCTTGCGTTTATCGGTCGAAATTAAGGGCACAATATGACTTGGAAGAAACCCATTCTGATTGTCTTGTTCATTTCTGCTGCGAGGTCTGCGCTCTCTGTCAGGAGTACAGAGAGCTCAAGAACAGAGGATTTGACATGAGTATTGGTCAGTTCTCATTATTCTGGTTAAATATTCATTTTATTTGTATCTGGTTAATTACGTAGAAAAACTAATGGAGGGACTAATTTGATTTTACTTTATATGAATTTAGACTTGAGAGGCTACGTAGCAATCAGAAAGAATTGAGGGATATCAATATGGAATAGAGGATTTTTTATATCAGCCCCCCCTACATATTTCATATTTTGAAATTAGTTCCCCAAAATTTGGAGATTTGGAGGATTAATTTCATAATAATAGATATGTAGAGGACTAATAAAGAAAAAAAACTTTGCAAAATAAGGATAAGGCATAAATTTTCTAAAGAGAGACAACCGTTTTTCTTTAGTATTTGAGAAATCGGCAAAATATAGAGTGCACAATAACCATTACGTAGATATATTCATATACATCTAGATCACCATAAGAAACTCCCCTTCCTCCTTATTTCAGTTTTTTTTTCCTCCATCATTGATCCAAATTCTAAATGATCGAGTTCCTATTATATTTGCAAATTAATGACGAATTCAACCAAAGAACCTACAGGATTCGTTGCCTGTCTTCCTCATTGCCTGGTAACTATTTTTGGCCAAATGACAACCTAAAACATACCTAAAGCAATTTATAAACCCCACTATTTGCTTGTTGATTAATGAACGTGGTCCTATTTTCTGATAAACGTCTTGGTATTCTTGTCATGATATATGAAGGATGGAACGCAAATGTTGATCGACAGAGACGAGGAGTTATTCAACCTCCAGTGATGGGAGCTCCTGTTATTGGAGGAGCCATGATGAGGTGATAACCAAAATCATAGCAACTTGGAATAAGGACTAGTATTGTGTGGTGGATTAATATCAGACAACTTATTTTTATGTAATGTGTTTTGCTTTTGCTAACTTTGATAGTTGTGTTGTTTATCTGATATGTTATATATGTTGTGTTTTACCTTCAATATCGATATCGCTACGACATGGCCTACTAGGGTTTAGCGTGGAAAACCAAATGACAAACTAAAGAAGAAACGAACAATCCAACAAAGAGCAATCACACTAAACACGAGATTTTATGAGGTTAGACAATGAGCCAGCGTCCCTAAGTAAAGAGTGAGATTTTACTAATTTTTTAGAAGAAGATTACATTCTATTGAAAATCCTTACAAAAATACTCTGCTTTTTTATTTCCTTCCTTGATGTTCACTCTATCAGTCTCACTTTTTTTCAATCTTTAAAAAAAAACTCCATATTTATAGCCTAGTTACTATTATGACAAATCTTCATCAATCACACGAAGGCACGAAAAATACCAGGAACACACGAACACAAAGATACATGTAGCTCGGTTTGTAGCCTACGTCCATGGGCGAAGGAGGAGAAAGACTTTACTAAATTGTGAAGAATGCAAGTGGAACCTCTCAATCAGTCAATCCTAAATAACATCCCTTTAATCTCTCAAAGATGAACAAAATAGAGCCTTCAATCACCAACCAAGAATTGATCAAAAAAACCCCTTAATAAGATGTGGGTTTGTTGCAGGTAATTCAAAAGACCTTCTCCCTTTCTCTGTCCAACTCTCTCTCTCTCTCTCTCTCTCTCTCTCTCTCTCTCTCTCTCTCTCTCTCGGGTTTACTCCCTCCACGTCCAATAATCATACTTTCTTTAAAAGCACGAGTTCGAAAAAATCTTTTGCTAGACAAAAATACCCTTGAAATTCAAATATTAATCCATTAAGTAATAGTGAGTTGATAAGTTGATGGAATCTTATTGGATATACATAGTATGAAGATAATGATATAGTTTAAATTGAAATGTAAACCTGAATGAAATTATTAAATACCAAATTTACAAATATATACAAAATAAAGGGCGTATATGCAAAAACCAAACAAATTAGTGAGACAGATAATGTCCGCCCTAGAGGTCGAACCCAGGAATAGCACAGACCTACAAATGTACATAATGTGGATGGGGTATTTGTAAAATCCACCAAACAAATTAAAGAGATAAAATCATTCTCAAAATTATAAAAAAGAAAAATTAAAACAAACGGCTACGATATGAGGACACAAAGTGGCGATCTCTCGCCAACTAAAATTCAAGTAGTTTATGGTACTACATAATTAGTTTTAAAGTTTAATTATACTCTTATTATTTAAATAGAACTCTATTTACAATTGTTATCCTCTCACATGCAACATCACATAATAGTGTATATAAGCCAAGAAATTACAACAATTTTTATAGCACTTTCATCTTCTTCTACAGATATATGTCTTTGTTATTTTCTTCTTATTAGATTAGATTAGATTATTTTAAATAAATTAATTATATTGTATATTTGATTTTTATTTTCATATCAAGATATATCAATACTTTTCACAGCACTTTCATCTATTTTCTTCTCATTAGATTAGATTAGATTATTTTAAAGCAATTAATTATATTGTATGTTTGATCTTTTTTTCAGATTAAAAATTATAATAATTTTCATAGTACTTTCATCTCTTTCAACAGGTATGTCCATTTGCTATTTTCTTCTTATTAGATTAGATTAGATTGCTTAAAAATTATAAATTATAAAATTACAATAAATTTCATATTATTTTTATCTATTTTCTTCTTATTAGATTATATTAGATTATTTTAAATAAATTATTTATATTGTATGTTTGATCTTTTTTCAGATCACAAAGTTTAATTATACTATTATTATTTAAATAGATATTGTTTGTATAAAAGTCAAAGAGAATCTCACGCATATTTTAGATCTCAATGTCAATTATAATATTTATACATGGGTGTTGGTTAAAATAAGTTTTATGTATAAGCTTAACTTATATGATCCTACTTTAACCGAATTGGATAATTTAATTTTTTAACATCCAAACTCTTCAACAAAATCAAAAGAGAGTAGCAATGCTATAGCTATATGTATCCACAGGACCACAGATATCTTGAAAATAAACGAAGAAAATCACACAAACAAAAACCATATTAATTACCCCCACACACACTATTTTCAAAACCACCCTTCTCCATCTATATCTATAATATACCCACAAACCAAATTAAGTTGTTGGAGTTTCTACTCTCCAACTACATCATTGATCAACCCGTCTTTTTTCCTTTGTACTTAAATTGTATAATATTCTTTGCAATGAGGACTCACATGGGCCCAACAAAAAAAATGTAGTAGGCCTTGTAGTTAGTTAATAATGAAATCATATCATTATAAACAAACTAAGTAAAGATTAATAATTTCTAGGAATGTACTATGTTCCTTAGCTTCCACTACAAACTTATTAGTTGTTTATTCTTGGCCCCAAGAGATTTTTAAAATTAATCATCTACTTCATAAAATTTTTTAAAATGTTTAAATAAAATTTATGGTAAATGTAATAATTCATGTTTATAGATTTTAACTCAAAATGAATCTGACTTATTTTATAGTAAGAAAATAAACAAAAAAATTATTGTGATATTTAACCACGTGAATTGCACGTGCACAAAAACTAGTATTTATAAATGCACAAGCCTTGTCCATACTTGTAAAGAGGCAGAAGTCTTCAGCTAATAGAATTATAGAATAAACCAACTCTGCATTTTATAGAAGTCCATGTGACTTTGGACTCTTATTAATTTCAAGTAAATAACCAAGTAGTTCTAGTCCTTATCTTTATCAAGCACAGATCAATTAGGATTAGTATTTGAGTTAACTGTAACAAATCTCCATCTTGAGTCAAATACGACGAAAAATTTCACACTTTAAAAATTAGCTAACTTACTCCACCTTCTCCAATAACCCCGCAGGGCATCAAGTGTGGTACATATCGATCAAGTTCAAGCCGGACTTGAACTTACCAACTGAAAGAGGCTTCCTCAACAAATCAACTTAATTATCCGCACGACGACTATAACTCTTAGTGAAGTTATCACCTGAAGTAGCTCCCGAATAGCTGAAGGGCACAAAATTGTCAACCGACAATGCATAAGCTATCGTATCTTCATATCTTCGCGGTGGTAGAATATCTCCTC